ATTTTTTTTTTATTTGTTTCAAATCTTTTTTTAACTTGATCCAATGATGATCTTTCAATTTTCATGGACATTCCTAAATTTCTTTGATCTAAAAATATGACGTTATGTAACTGTTAATCACTATTTAATTGTAAAATCATTCAGAATACTACCAATCAATCTCAATATCAAGATTTGWAAGTGATAATTTCAATTTAATTCTTGTTTCTTGAGTTYTTAAATAAAATAAGTTATATTTGAGTAATAAAACACGAACACAAGAAAAAAAAATGTGAAGTTAATTGTTATCCCCCATAAAAGTTAAGTTTTTGAGACTGACTGTTTACTAATCAGTAATCAATAAAAACTGGATTCTTGTGCAATTGCATCTTTTTAATTTTTTATTGCATGTTTTGATTCCAATACAAATATTTTAAATTATATTTCATCAAAATGTTTATTTTCTTATTATCACAGGTATTACAGGTATTATTTATAGATTTTATTACATTATCATTATTGTCTGACCTAGGACTTAATATAGTAGGTGTACAATGTAAAAACATAACAATGGGTGTTGCAACCATATACAGTMAATTGACAACTAGCTACGATCAAATAGTCTACTGTTAAAGCAGTAACAAAAACACAAATATATTTTCATGATGGTCACACTACTGATATACCATTTACTATTTAGACATATTATGTTAAAAATGTTATTTTCCCGGGAGAAGTTAACACATTATTTTTGCTTTATACCTACTACATACAAAATATAATATGAAACAAGTGATAAGAAAAAATATAATATTAAGTACCTACTCTGACTAAGCTTTTGTTCTCTAATTCCTAATAAGCTAATAACTTAATTTTGTATGTTTTCAGATTTTTGTTGCACAAAAATACAGTCTTTAATAACTAATGAATAATTCATTTTGAGAGAACAACATAGGTATCACTGAATAATATTCAAATGCATTGTTTTAAAATTACATAGTATGTAGACTTACGTTTTTTTCCATTTATATGATCCAGAAAATTAATGGAATCTTTAACCACACAATCRCAAACATTACAGTAATATCTGAAATAAAACAAGATTGGTTTAGTAAAAAATCAAATAATAAAAAAAATTATTATTTATTACCCTCCACTTTGTGAAGAAGGAGTGGCTTTAGTAATTACAACACTTTTTCCAAGTTTTGAGTCTAAGTCTACGCGGTAATCTCGTTGTTTGAGCATTTCTCTTTTTATTGGTGATAGGTCCTTGGAACGATCGTCGTCGAGATCGTCCATCAGTCTCTTTCTGGCTAACTTTTCGTACTCGTCTCGGTCCCATTTTCGCCGATGATCTTCCGGTCTCTATAAAACATTAAAATCAAAATTATTACTACACTAACAAACTGCCTTTTAAACAATTAGTAGAAAAGAATGTACACTCACACTACTTGATGACATTATGGWTTTGTTTTAATTAATATTTTATATTTAATATTAATTTTATATTGTCAGTTTAATAGTTTAAATAAAAATAGAATAGTTTAAAATAATGAACACATATGAGAGAAAATATTATGTTTT